GTGCTAAAACATCTCAAATGCATAGAAAATGTTTTGGAGAGGTCAGTCCATTAAATGATGACCCAACCCAACCCCAAGGTTTACAGCCTTGTGTAAATTTAATGTGCAAGTTTTGTATAATTTTACTTTTCAAAAATCACCTTCTTCTACTAAAATGCTAGCAGAAGTGTATAATGCTAGCAGAGTGTATAAGTATAGGTTTCTTGTTCTATACTGTCAGTATTGTGGTTTATTATTAATTTTCCCTGTTTGAGAGTGTTATAAATAAAATTACCTTGGACTGAAGAAATTGAATTTGTGGTGAAATTCCTTTTAGACTTGTTTTTGTTTTGAAGGGTATAGTTTTTGAATTTGGGAACATAACTGGTAGCAGTTCAGAATTTTGAAAATCTATTTTGAAAATCTATTTACATCTGCATCTTATAGATGAGTATATTTAAATATAGCAATTGCACACTATTCCTATTGAGAGCTATAAAGATCTAACTTTTTAATTTTTTTAACAAAATAGTTGAAGTTATCATGTGAAATTCTATTTTTGCCGTCAGTTTACACTCAAAATATATCAGTTTCCTTGAATTGATGAGAAAGCCTTAAAGAACCGAGTATTTGTAGAATCAAATATTTACCAATGAATCCCAAATAAAAATGATTTCATGTATGAATTTTGTTTTGGAAGACTCATTAGTTTTTGTAGAAACTTCAAATCGAATACCAATCCTCTCAGAATTGAATATTACATCATTTATAAATTCAATCTGCATATATATTAAATTTCCTATTCCTAATACTTATTGAATCTCTTATTTTTATATTGTGCGATGCTATTTATCCATTAGCAATAAATGTTAAACCAGATATGCGACAGTTATTAAAAATCCTTCCTTCCTTCTTCCTTCCTCCCTTCCTTTCTTGGTAAAATAAATCAGTTGTCCATCAATAATTTGCTTGCATACAAAATTAGCCTATTTTCCACTATTAGAAATGATTCTGCAGAATTAATTGTGAATTCCAAATTGAGAACTTTCCTCATTTTTCCCCCCCAAGCAATAAGCTGGTCAACCAACAAGAGGAGAAAGTATTACATTAAAAACATCTGAAAAATAAATTATTTTAATGAATAAGCCGAGTTTAAAAATAATTGCTTTAATGAGCTTTAAATTACCACAGTAAAAATTTAAAACTAACTTTGGATTTCATCACTGTATAATCGGTTTAATTAGATTCAGGTCTGTATATATTTATAGTAGAGAAGCTACCGCATAAAAAACAATTTTTACTATCTTCTCATTTATGTATTGTATTATTAATTCTCCCTCCATTTAGCAACTGCTTAAGAAACTTTAAAAAACTATAAGACAGCAACATACAATAATTTTAAAAACTCATTTTAAAACCATTTAAAATTAAATCAAATCATTTATTGTTTTTAGAACGCTGATACAAAGTTAAAATGTATATAAGGGGATTTCCTAGAAGCAATGACGAATCCTCAGGACGGTACATTTTTATGAGATGACTGATGAAGGAATGAACCCTAAGAATATGTCTTTAATTTAAATGGGGTATACATCAATTAATTTTATACATATATAAGATTTAAATTGCAGTGTTTCACTACCGCAAAGTAATATTTCCATAAATTTTTCATTGGTCCTATTTGTATATGTTATATTTGCACACATTCTGTCGATCCTTATTTCTAATTTATGGTTCTAAGCTTATTTAAGCATCGACTTTTAAAACTGTAATCTAAAATCATGGAAATACATAATTAGTACCTATGAAAAATTGGTAAGAACTTCATCCATAAATAGACTTAAACTTTAACATGAAGCTTTTGCCACAAATTGTCCCTTATTTCTGAAGAATCTTATTTCTTAATCCAAAGAATATTTCCTACTCTTAGGTTTACAGTATATACAGTGTTCATGTTAACAGAATAACAGAATTGGAAGGGGCCTTGGAGGTCTTCTAGTCCAACCCCCTGCTCAGGCAGGAAACCCTATACCATTTCAGACAAATGTTTGTCCAACCTCTTCTTAAAAACTTCCAGTTTGGAGCATTCACAACTTCTGGAGGCAAATTATTCCACTGATTAATTGTTCTCACTGTCAGGAAATTTCTCCTTAGTTCTAGGTTGCTTCTCTCCTTGATTAGTTTCCATCCATTGCTTCTTGTCCTGCCTTCAGGGGCTTTGGAGAGTAGCTTGACTCCCTCTTCCTTGTGGCAGCCCCTAAAATATTGTTTTAAATATCTGCGTTTTACGTTTTAAATACTAATTGGATATATACAGTGAGTATATGAGAAAGAATTTATTTAGGTCCTTGAAGGTTTGGATTTGTTATTTCCCAAAGTTCCTAAAACCCAGGTCAAATCCTGTAACACTTTGTAGAATCACAGTTTTATTATTGAAAAAAACCCACCATCATCAACATTGTCAAAGGAGCACTGATCACTGCTACCCCTGATGATGTTACCTAGTTGGGTAACGAAACGTCTTCAAGAAAACCACTAAGCTCAGAGAGCCCAAAGGACCCCACAGTTCAATCCTGATATACAAATATTCTCTTCTTTTGGTTATTAAAAGGTTTTGCCACAAAAGGACCATTAAAATGTTATCTGTGAAACTAAGGTGGTCTCTGCAGCAGTGGCTCCAAGCCATTCCCGTGGCTACCAGATAGTGACCTTCTAATACTGAGTTGATGAGTCAGGAAGAGCCTTGGTGGCGCAGCAGACTAAAGTGCTGTTAAATAGCACCAGCTACCTGCAATTACTGCAAGTTCAAATCTCACCAGGCTCAAGGTTGACTCAGCCTTCCATCCTTCCAAGGTAGGTAAAATGAGGACCCGGATTGTGGGGGCAACTAAGCTGACTTTGTATAAAAAAGAACCCCACTTAGGGGGGCCCGAAAGCCCTACTAAGCAGGTATATACAAAAGTATGAAGGCTATTGCTTAAAAGCATTGTAAGCCGCCCTGAGTCTCCGGAGAAGGGCGGCATATAAATCGAACCAATAAATAAATAAATAAACTACATCATAAAAATACATGAAAAACCTTACTTGGGGAGTATGTCCATTTTGTCCAATTTCTTCCTCTCTATGCTAGCCAAAGGCTTACCGTTAGTAGAAACCTACAAGTAGAATATGACTTGACACACTAATCTGTGCTCCACAGCCATCCAAGGATATCCTTCCAAGGACCTTAAGCTTTCTTTAAGGCAGGTACTCTAACCATATTAAAAAAAGGGGGACAGGTCTTTAAAAAAAAAAATCACAGATTTTTGGGTTGTTAATTTTGGAAACCATTCTTAAACTTCAAAGTAGAAGTTCTTAGACGTCTTAAGTAATAGCTGCTAGGAAACAACAATAAAAGGTGGTTTGCCTTTTTGGGTCCAGTTTGTGAGATTTCTGGATCTATTGAGTTGGCTATCTTATTTATTTAGTTACTTATTTGCTTACTTATAGGATTAACATCAGGGATGGGCAACTATGGCCCTTTGCGACCTGTGGACTTCAACTCCCAGAATTCCTGAGCCAACATGGAAGTCAGGGGTGGCTGGCTCAGGAATTCTGGGAGTTGAAGTCCACAGGTCGCAAAGGGCCACAGTTGTCCACCCCTGACTCGTATAGATACCATTCTCATGTAATAGATCTCACAATACTCAATAAAATGTTATTATCCTTCTCCTCTTTCCTATTACATTCTCCTATTGGTATCTTATGATTATATTACTTTGCTGTTTGTGTATACACTGAGAGCATATGCCTTGTTGGAGATAAATTTCTTGTGTGTCCAAGCACACTTGGCCAATAAAGAATATTCCATTCCATTCCATTCCATTCTAATCCCAATAAATTAGTCTAGTCTAGACTAGACTAGACTAGACTAGACTAGACTAGACTAGTCTAGTCTATAACATAGTTAAAACATACCCCTCACTCCACATGCCAGACCAAACAGCCTCCCAGCAAATCCTCCATCCTAACCCATTGTTTAGGAGTGGGGGGGTAGGTCTTCACAGCTTGGTGGAGGGCTAAAAGGGTAGGGGTCCCTTGGATCTCAAATGGAAGGCTGGTCCAAAAGGTTGAAGTGGCCACCAAGGAGACATCTGGATGCAAAAGATGTTGAAAAAATGTGTCTTGGGCTTCATCTATCGGCCCCTCCTTGTATTCTTATGCCATTGCATTGTTGGTCTTTGTGTTTCAAATAATCTTGCTTTTATGTTCTTCTCTAAGCTATTTGCGGGGCCCATTATGTTGTTCAAAATAATCAGTTCGGGATTAAGTAAGAATTCCTGTTCATACTGCTTCGATTAATAATATATGGGTTACAGATTTATTTCATGTTATGTAAACTACATTTTTGTCTCATAGTGGTCTGTTATAATATTCTTTGAAGTATTAAATGTGCATTATAAAAGCTGCCAGGAATTCTTGAGCCCTTTTCTTCCCCCTCTTGTTTCAGTGAGTTGTAAATCTATTATTTAATAAATTATTTTTGTGGAGCAGTTGAGTCCTCAACTTACAACCACAATTGAGCCCAAAAATTTCTAGTTGCTAAGCGGGACAGTTGTTAAGCAAGTTTTGCCCCATTTTATGACCTTTTTCGCCACAGTCAGTCATTGTAGTGGTTAAGTTAGGAATACGGTTAAGTGGTTCTGGCTTCCCCACTGACTTTGTTTGTCAGAAAGTCGCAAAAGGGGATCACATGACCCCAGGACACAGCAACTGTCATAAATATGAGGCAATTGCCAAGCATTCAAAATTTGATCACGTGACCATGGGGATGCTGCAACGGTCGTAAGGGTGAAAAATAGTCTTAAGTCACTATTAAGATTCAATCATGGTTGTAAGTCGAGGACTACCTATGGGAAGGTGAGGTGTGAGAAACCATAATCCTGTGCAATTGGCTACTTCATGCCAGCAATATTCAAGGTTGCTTTGTTTAATTTCTCCATCATTTTAGGTCCTTATCTTGTTATTTTCCTTCTTTGTAGGACTTTGCCTCTCGGGCAAAACTGGCCATCCAGAACTTGGTGCAGAAAGTCGGATTTTTCGGCATCCTGGCATGCGCTTCCGTAAGTTCTCATCCAAAAAAATGTATTTAGCCTCTTGATCCTATTTCCATCCATGTGATTTCATCCCTTATAATGGTTTTCCTCGGTATTTTTCCTGTCAAATAGCTTCGGTCGTAGAAAGAAAAAGGAAGGTGCCTTGCATTCGAGTTTATCAGTTGTGGGGTCCTTGGTGCTCTCTGGGCTGGGCTGCTTTTCTTGCAGACATTTCATGGCCCAACTAAGTAACATCATCAGTGTAGAAGGGAGTGTGGTTTGCTCTCTGTTTATATACAAGTAGCTTGCCCTGTCAGTGTTGGGAGGGAAGATTCTTGGTGGATCCTTGATTCAGCTATTCTCTTCTGTTGGGCTGTTGGTAGTTCCTGACTTACAAGGCAAGTCACTTGTATATAAACAGAGAGCTAACCCCATTCCCTTCTTCACTGATGATGTTACCTAGTTGGGCCATGAAATGTCTGCAAGAAAACAGCCAGATTCAGAGAGCACCAAGGACCCCGCAGTTCAAACCTGAGCTACAAATACTCTCTTCTATCAGTATTATTTATTTGTTTGTTTGTTTGTTTCCATTTCTATACCGCCCTTCTCCAAATAGGACTCAGGGCGGTGAACAGCCAGAGTAAAAAACAGAACATACAAAATTTAAAAACAGTTTAAAATAATTAAATATTTTGGCCGTAAATTAAAACAACCCAATTTAAAATCAATTTAAAATTTAACTCAAGCCAGCCCAGCTAGTTGAAATAAATAGGTTTTCAGGGCCCGACGAAAAATCCGGAGGTCTGTTATTGTACGTATCTCTGGGGGGAGGTTGTTCCAGAGGGTGGGCGCCGCCACAGAGAAGGCCCTCCCCCTGGGGGTCGCCAGCCAACATTGTCTGGCGGACGGCACCCTGAGGAGGCCCACTCTGTGCGAGCGAACTGGCCGGTGGGAGGCTATTGGTGACAAAGGAAGGCATGGGGGAAGGAGAAGGGAGAAATTGATTTGGTAAAAGCAGAATTATTGAGGTTGAGTTGATCCTGCAAAAACACGGGGAATGGAAGCTGATCCAGCAGGATTTGGTGGTTTTTTGGGTTGAGTTCTTGGATCTTTCTGCTTTTCATGGCAACTGGGGATGACTGTCAGGTTTCTGACAGAGAAGAAGATGCAAATTAATTTGCTTCTTTGGTAGGGAATGAATTGCAAGCTCTTGCTAGCATGTCTTCTTCTAGACTCGTGATGGCGAACCTATGGCACATATGCCAGAGGTGGGACGCAGAGCCCTCTCTGTGGGCATGTGCGCCAGCCAGCTGGTCTTCGCTGGCGCTGGAGCACCAAAAAACAGCCCGAAAAACTACCAAAACCCGAACCTTTTTCAGGCCATTTTTCGGGCTGTTTTCAGGCCATTTTTCAAACTGTTTTTTAAAATGGCCCAGAAAACGGCTGGAAAATGGCGTGAAAAATGCCCCAAAAACAGGCATGCGCACGCCAGCCAGCTGGTCTGATTTGCGGCACGCCAGCCAGTGGTGAAATCCAAATTTTTTTACTACCAGTTCAGTGGGCGTGACTTGGTGGGTGTGGTGTGGCTTGGTGGGTGTGGCAGGGGAAGGATACCGCAAAATCTCCATTCCCACCCCACTCCAGGGGAAGGTGGTATTTGCCAGTTCTCCGAACTGCTCAAAATTTCCGCTACCAGTTCTCCAGAACCTGCTGGATTTCACCCCTGGCTCCAGCTCATGCACACGCATTCTGGTTTGGGTACTCGGTGCCAAAAAGGTTCGCCATCCGTGTTCTAGAAGCTCAGAATTAGGGTCTCAGGGTCTTTGGGAGTGCCATTTGCAATCTCCAGATGGTTCTCTCCCCATTACATTTACCATTCTTTCGTGAGACCCCTTAAACTAGAGCAGGGGTGTCAAATTGGCGGCCCGCGGATGCGTCACATACAGGCCACATCCACCCCAGCTCCATGAAGGGAAAAAGCATCACGCTACGTCACATGACAGCAACGTGCCGCAGCGAGTTTGACACCCGTGGTCTAGAGTCAACCATTGGCCAAGGTTATTCTCTTGAGTTTCACGGCCGAGAGGCAATTATTTATTGATTTTTCTCTGTATTTACATCTTGCCTTTTATTATTTTTACAAATAACTTAAGGTGGCAAACACACACAATACTCCTTCCTCCTATTTTCCTCACAACAATCCTGGAAGGTGGGTTGGGCTGAGATAGCGTAATTGGTCATCAGGCCAGCTTTCATGGCTAAGGCATGACTAAAACTCACCATCCCCTGGTGAATGACCCTGAGTCACCCAGCTGGCTTTCATAACTAAAGCAGGACTAGAACTCACAGTCTCCTGGTGCTTAACTGGCTTTCGCGGCTAAAGTGGGACTAGAACTCACAGTCTCCTAGTGCTTGGCCCAAAGTCATCCAGCCAGCTTTCATGGCTAATGCCGAATTTAAACTGACAGTTTCCTGATGATTGATCCAACTTCACCCAACTGAGCTTTCATCCCTAAAGCAGGATTAGAACTCACAGTCTCCTGGTGATTGGCCCCAAAGTCATCCACCCAACTTTCATGCCTAAAGCAGGACTAGAACTCACAATCTCCCAGTTTCTAGCCTGGTGCCTTAACCACTAGACCAAGTGGAGCACACATCCTAAAATTGCCAAGTTTGGACATCTCTGCTGTACAGGTAGTCCTCGGCATACAACAATTCATTTAGTGACCGATCAAAGTTACAACGACACTGAAAGAAGTGACTTATAACTGGTTTTCACAGTTACAACCAGTCTAGCAACCCCACAATCACGATCAAAATTCAGATGTTTGGCAACTGGTTCATACTTACGACTTGTTCCAGCATCCCGGGGTCACGTGATCCCCTTTTGCGACCTTCCGACAAGCAAAGTCCGTGGGGTAGCCAGATTCGCTTAACAACCAGCTTGCTAACTTTATCAACAGCAGTGGTTCACTTAACGACTGTGGCAAGAAGTGTCGTAAAACGGGGGCAAAACTCACTTAACAAATGTCTCACTCAACAACAGAAATTTGGGGCTCAATTGTGGTCTTACGTTGAGGACTACCTGTATAGGACACTTTCAGCTCTGAAGAAAAAGTATGATATAAATCTAATAAGCCGCGGTGGCGCAGTGGTTAGAGTGCAGTACTGCAGGTTTTTTCTGCTGACTGCAATTTGGCAGTTCGAATCTCACCAGGCTCAAGGTTGACTCAGCCTTCCATCCTTCCGAGGTGGGTAAAATGAGGACCCAAATTGTTGGGGGCAAGATGCTGACTCTGTAAACCACTTAGAGAGGGCTGTAAAAGCACTATGAAGCAGTATATAAATCTAACTGCTATTGCTAAGTGCTAATAAGCAGCAAATGTTGTGTTTCTGGCCCAAGTGACGAGCCGCTGAGAAAAAGGGTGGAACTCTTCATTTATCCTAAAACGGAGAGGTGTAATTTATTTCACTCGTATTGAATGGGTTAGAGGTTTTTTTTTTCCCCTTCCTGGAGAGGTTGTGCAATACCAAAGCCTCCGTGTGCTCGAATTTGAAAAGTGATTTGAGTGTTGAGCTGTCCCCAGCTTCCTCAAATCTTTTCAGTCCATTACAACATCCCCAAACTTAATCCTCGGTACATTTTGTGCTCTGGTGCAAATAAACACACGTCTGCTATTCTCCGGATTGTGCTTCCAGATCCCATGAATGCATCATCATAAACCGGGATAAAAAATCATAATCGCCTGCCCCCTCCAACTCGGCCCCCGTCGGCCCAGTCCCACCGATCAATAAAAAGAAACGGAGGCATTTAAAAACTTCTGAAAAGTCGAAGTTCGTGGAAAAGCAGCCTTTTCCTAGCCTCAGAAGTAGTGGAAAGGTTTTAATTTGCAAATGCTACCTCATCGGCTTACCGTCTCCACCTTTATTAACAAGTTTATACAACTGGCGCATCCAAATTTTTCCGTGCTTATAGGAAGCAACCCGAGCTGGATTTTTTTTATTTTTATTTTTTAGCCACGAAAACCTGGACACTGTGCGCTGTATTGATTATTGACTGCTCTTGTTTGTTCTTCAAATTAATGTTTATTATTAGTGCAGTGAGGTTCGACCTATGCACGGAGAGATTCCACTTGGGAGTTATTTCCTTGCTATTTCAGAGACTAAAGACTATTCTCTTCTTTATGAATTACCTTTTTTTTAAAAAAAGCCTCTTTTAACCACTGTGGAAATATGGAATATGTATGTGTTAATCTGGACCGAGTCTGAGATGTTCTCTTGCAAACCTCGTCTAGACGAGGGATAAAAGAGTTAGGATTTTAAACACGGTGTACAAACCGTTTTAAACACACTCCCTTACTTTGTGGCAAGTTACTACTTTTATTTATTGTCTGTTTTTTGAGGAAAACTGACTGACCATTTTGTCGGTTTGTAGCATTTGTGGGCATTTTCTAAGTAGGCCTCAGGGGCGGGGGTGGGGGAATCTCCTTGCTCTGTGTGTAAATATTTTAAGCTCACCCAAGTGTTTATGTAACTTCGTTTTTCTCAATGGCCAGAAAATGTTTTTTTCCCAGTAGCGGCTTTAGAGTTTCGTATCTCAAATATTTATTTATTTATTTTATTTTATTTTTATTAAATTTATATGCCGCCCTCTTCCCGTAGGACTCGGGGCGGCGTACAGAATTAAAACATATAACAGTAAAAACCCTAAAAGCAGCCAATATAAAACCCCAAACAAAATAAAATCTCGTAAAATACCGTAACAACCTTCCCCATGCCAGGAAACATGACTTTAGAAATAGAAGACTATTTTCGAAAGGAAATGCTGATCATCATCTCTTCAAACGTTAGAGATTGGACCACCATTTTCTCTGAAATGATGCACAGTTTCCTTTTTGAGCAGGGGGTTGGACTAGAAGACCTCCAAGGTCCCTTGTTATTCTGTTAGAAAAGGAAGCCACTTTTTTTTTTTTTTTTGGTTTGTTTGTTTGTTTTTTTTCTTTCTGTTCCCCTTCATTTCGGCAGCACACATAGCAAATAAATGCCAGATTTATTCTCCCCTTCCCCTCAGACACACTGTTCACCAGAGGTCCATTTTTGGAGACTGAGTCACTGGAACCAAAACACTTGTTGACGGGGGAGGGCAAGAGGTGGAGAATGTTTGATAAATGGCTCTAAAATGGCTGACTGTGGTTTCTGTGCATTTCTTATGGAAGACGTCGGTCGAGCTGTTTCTAATCTGGACTTCCCAAAAAAAAAAAAAAAAAACCCCCACCAGAGATGTGGGCAAGACCTTACTTCATCTGGGAGAGCGTCTAGCTGAGAGGTCTCCCTTGTTATGGGCTGTCACAGCAACGTTTTTTAAGCAGAGTTTTCAGAAATACGAGAAAGGCGTTCGGAAAAAAGGGGTTAAAAACCCCCAGAGCCTCCGCTCAACCTACTCGGAGGTTCAGAAGTTCTCAAACTCGTGGTCTGAGGGAACCGTGGATGGTTTGAGGGCTCCGGCCTTACGGTTGCGCAGGCTGGTGATGGAAAACTCGCCACTATGCGGTCTTGCTTCATTTCTTTTCAATTGAAATAATGCGATGAATCCGGTCCAGATTCTCGACCGGGATGACAAAGCTGTGGTTTTTAATAAGAGACTGCCCGGTTTAGACCAATGTTTCTCAACTTTGGGCAAGTTTAAGTTTATGTGGGCTTCAATTCGACATTGAAATATAGGAGAAATTCCATAGAAATATATAGAAATTCCACATAGGAGCCGAGAGTGGCGCAGTGGTTAGAGTGCAGTACTGCAGCTACTTCAGCTGACTGCTAGCTCAGCAGATCAGCGGATCAAATCTCACCGGCTCAAGGTTGACTCAGCCTTCCATCCTTCCGAAGTAGGTAAAATGAGGACCCAGATTGTTAGGGGGCAATAAGCTATTTAGTATACTGTCTTTGGTGTAAGCCGCCCAGAGTCCTCGGAGAGTGGGCACCATAGAAATATGACTAATAAAATAATAAAATAAATTCCCAGAATTCCCCAGTTAGCAAGGTTCAACTCATGACCACCTTAAGACAACATCCATTTATTGCTTTGCAAGCAGCATATGATATTCTGCAGAAGATTGCCACTAGCCATGGAGGTTTTATTTACTGGGCTTTCCTAACCGCTAGTTCTTGATAGTCCTGTCTTGTTCTCAGAATAATTTTAAGAAGAGGTTGGACAACCGTTTGTCTGAAATGGCAACGGGTTTCCTGCTTGAGCAGGGGGTTGGACTAGAAGACCTCTAAAGTCCCTTCCAGCTCTATTATTCTGTCATTCTGTCAGGTAATCGTCGACTTATGCTCATTCACTTAGTGACCTTTTGAAGTGACAAAAAAAGTGGCTTATGACCAGTGGTGAAATCCATTTTTTTTTTTTACTACCGGTTCTGTGGGCGTGGCTTGGTGGGCGTGGCAGGAGAAGGATGCTGCAAAATCTCTATTCCCTCCCCATTGCTGGGGGAAAAATATTGGAAAATCTCCATTCCCATCCCACTCTGGGGGCAGCCAGAGGTGGTATTTGCCGATTCTCCGAACTACTCAAAATTTCTGCTACCGCTTCTCCAGAACCTGTCAGAACCTGTTGGATTTCACCCCTGTTTATGACCATTTCTCACACTTATGGCATACCTACGGTCACGTGATCAAAATTTGGACCCTTGGCAACTGATTCAGTACAGTGTCCTGGGGTCATGCCCTTTTGCGACCTTCTGACAGGCAAAGTCAATGGGGAAGCCTGACTCACTTAACAACCGTGTTACTAACTTAACAACGGAAGCAATTCATTTAACAATGGAGGCAGGAAAGGTCATAAAATGGGGCAAAACTCGCTTAACAACTGTCTCACTTAGCAACAGAAATGTGGGGCTCATTTGCTGTCGTAAATCGAGGACTACCTGCATTTATGAAAGCTGTTCCTGGAACGTTGTATGTGGAAATGTATTCTAATCCTGCTTCTCTTTCTCCTCCCAGATTCCCAATCCTCTGTTCGACTTGGCCGGGATAACATGCGGACATTTTCTGGTTCCCTTCTGGACATTCTTTGGAGCCACCTTGATTGGAAAAGCAATCATCAAAATGCATATCCAGGTAATTTACCTACCAGAACCGAGGCTTTCTACCTGCTTGTCAAGGTGGATGGAAACGATGTGTTCACACATCCACCCCCTTTGTCTATGGAGATTCTCAATCATCCAGGTCACGGTTGTCCCAAAGGTAGTCTTCTGTCCCCCTTCCTCGCACAGGCAAACACACAACCAGTCACGCCTGCCAAGATTTTATTAAGCAATCAGACTAGAAACCCTTGCAGATAAGAGTTTTGGCAGTAAACTGCGAAATGCCAAGTCAGTTTTCACTCACAGTCAGCAAGAGAGAGTTTATCCTCAGTCCGGTTCCACGAAGCAGGAGTTAGCCACGGTCCAATCCAAAATATGCACAAGCCAGATTTCAGGTAACGCGATGTGACACTCAGGTTTTTAACTTTGACCGTCACAAAGCCTGAAGAGCAATCCCACCCACTTTTATTCCTTGTGGGGGCGTGGCTCAGTGACTCAGCTCAATCTCTGGCCCTCCCACGCCTCTTCCATTGCTGCGCACGCTTCTCCCTCTGACGCTGCCTGGGATCAAGCCAGGATTCATCATCCTCGCTCCCTATCTGTTGTTGTTCCGATATGCTTTCCTCCTGGCATATCCCAGGCTGTTCTTCTTGGCCTTCGGATGGAACCTGAGGCTTTGCCAGAGAGGAGGGTCCTGGAGAGGGAGGCCTTATCAGTTCCTCCCCATCACCTTCTGAATCCTCTTCCTCTGTTAAGACAGGCTCGGGAGTCGGGGTCACAACAGGTAGCTTTTTCAAAAAGCAACTGAACTTTCTTGTTGTTGTTGGGTTTTTTTAGAATATAATTTTCTTCTTCTTTTCACTTCTCCTCCAAAAAGCTGCTGCTGCTTCTTTCTTCTTAGGGCCGGTCATTTACCCTCAGCCCTGGGAAACAGGCAATGGCCAACCAGTTTTGAAAAACCTTGCCAAGAAAACAGCAGGGAATTATTTAGGCCAGGGGTGTCAAACTCAATTTCATTGAGGGCCGCATCAGGGTGGTGTTTGACCTCGGGGGTGGGGGGGGGCGCATGGCCAGCTCATATCTGGGGCATCTGTGGTGGCCAAGTGCTAAGGGAGGACTTCCCTTCGATTCTCCCTCACTCTCATTATATCCTCCCTTCCGTTGCCTTCTCTTCTCTTCTCTTTTTTCTTCCCTCTTCATTCTCCTTTCTTCTTCCTTCCCCTCTTTCCTTATTTTTCCTTCCTTGCTCTCTTTCCTTCTTTTTCTTTGTCTTTCCTCTTTCCCTTTCTCCTCTCTTGTCTCTTCTTGCATGCTCAAATGCAAAAGGGGAAACATTTCTCCTTTAGTTTTGGTTTTAGTTTGTTTTGCTAGCCCTCTGCCCGCGAAAACAGAGATGCTCCGTTTTCTCAGGCAGAGGCACCACGGACCGGTCTTTTGCTGTTTCCAGGATGGCCCCGCAGGCCAGATCTAAGCACCCCTGCGGGCCAGTCCTTGAGTTTGACACCCTTGATCTAGGCAGTCACCAGGGGGTCAGAGTGGAAAAAGCTTCTTGGATGAGAAACGAAACATATTCAAAGAAAAAAACGAAGAAAGTCCAATTGCCTTTTGGAGACATCTACTCCTCTTGTTTCCCAGGAATTACTGCTTCTTACAAGCTGCTTCTTCTTTTTTTAATTTTTTAATTTTTATTTCTTATAAACATGTTTATATGTACAGTCATTTCCATCATTTTTCATTCATCTTTTCTTTTAACTTTCATTTTTCATTTTTACTTTTTCGGGACTGCTCTTTTACCCTTTTCCTTTACTCCAACCTTTCTTCTTCTCTTCTCCTCCCCTTCTCTTCCTTCCTCTCTCTTCTCCTACTTCCTTCGTTCTTTCTCTCCTTCTCTTTCCTACTTCCCCTTCTCTTCCCCCACTCCTCCCTTCTTCCCCTCTTCTAACCTTCTCCTCTGATCCTCTTTCCCCTCCCTTTTCTTCCTATCCTTTTCCCTTTCTTCTTTCTCCTCTTCTCTTCTCTCCTCTCTCTCTACTCCTTCCCCTCTCTCCTGTTGTTTCCCTTTTCAGTTCAATCTAATGTGGTATTCGAGCAAGCCCCGATTTTCTAATTATCTTTATTCTCATTTCAATTTCTTATTCAATTTCAATTATTATTTATTTTTATTTCATTATTTGGGTACATTTTTATAATATCTCACTTTTTTCCCTTTTAACCCCCCCCCCCCTTTCTCCTTTTACTTGACATCATCTGGGTATCTATTTTTCTAACTGTTTTCTCCCATGTATTCTCTATCTATTTTATTTCTATATCCTTATTCATATTTCTTTTCTAACCAATCATAAAATTTATCCCATGTCTTGAAATACATCGACTCCTCCTTATCTTTTATTCTCATTGTTAATCTATTCATTTCTGCACATTCTAAAATTTTCTTATTGGGAATTGTACCAGAGAAATATAGTAAAGAAGATACATATTTGATTATTCATATAATAACAGCGGCTAGAATTGTATTTGCACAAAACTGGAAAGCAGATAAAATCCCATTGGAAGGAGAAATTATAAAGAAAATTTTAGAATGTGCTTCTTACAAGCTTCAAGGCTTCCATAAACCCATCTAACACTGATTGCTTCATTCCTTGGCGAATATATTAACACCAAACATCAATTGGAATATGTCTGTGTTATCATAGCCAGGTTTCCAGCCTCCTGAGTGAGTGTCCTAGCTAAATGCAGGTAGTCCTCAATTTATGTCCATAATTGATCCTGGAATCATGGTCGTACGTCGTGCCATTGTTAAGCAGGTCACCATGCCCGATTTTACGACCTTTTTTCTGACGGTTGTTAAGTGAATGTCTAGTTTAATGAAAAGAAGGACTAGGGGTGACTAGGACAGTCTTCCAATATCTCAGGGGCTGCCCCAAAGAAGAGGGAGTCAAGCTATTCTCCAAAGCACCTGAGGGTAGGACAAGAAGCAATGGGTGGAAACTAATCAAGGAGAGAAGCAACTTAGAACTAAGGAGAAATTTCCTGACACTGAGAACAATTAACCAGTGGAACAACTTGCCTCCAGAAATTGTGGGTGCTTCTTCACTAGAGGTTTTTAAGAAGAGATTGGACAACAATTTGTCTGAAATGGTATAGGATTTCTTGCCTGAGCAGGGTGTTGGACCAAGTTCCCTTCCAATTCCGTTATTCTGAATCACGGTGGTCATTAAGCAAACCCCATGGTCATTAAGCAAATCAATTGTCTTCAATGGGCATACTTGTTTCTTTCACCAACAGATTTTTTTAAAAAAAATTATCACGGGTTCTTTCCCCAAACTTGGAAATCTCGTTCCTTCAAATTTGGGCTGGAGCCTTTCCGTTTCTGCAAAAGCCTCTCAGATATGCATAGCTGGCGATTATATTGGCGTATTACCTCTTAATCATCCCTTCTGCAGACTAAACATAGCCAGCTCCTTCGCAGGGAAACAGGCCCATTCTGTATACATTACCTGAGGAACATTTTTTTCTGGATTTAGGCGAGCTAACTTTGGCGGGGGGCGGGGGGTAGACAGACGATAAAGAAATCTCAGCCATTCATTGTCCAAACTTTGGTGGCTGGAAGAATTTGTTTAACCGGCAAGCGGTTGCAGGAAGGTGGGGGGGGGGGAAATGGGCCTGTAAAAAAAAAAAAAAAATTAGAAATGTTTATTTTTAGATTCTGTACACATAGCTCATCGCAGCGTTAATCTCGGAAGACGCGTTTAGCCTGCCTTCTCTTACTATGACTTGTAAGATCAGGGGTAGCCAACTAGGCCAACTCTATGACCTATGGCTGTGATGGCGAACCTGTGGCACGCGTGCTCAAAGTGACACACAGAGCCATGTCACCCAACACGTGCGGCCTTGCCTGTTTGCCTTCTGGGTTTCTGGTGTGCATGCACGCACGACACTCAGCTGTCCTTTGTGTGCACAGCAGTGACAAAAAGTGGTGTGCGCATGCGTGCTGTCCAGCTGATCGTCAGGCGCAGGCGCGCCAGAACCCGGAAGTTCGGCTTTTCCAGAGCACGATCCCTTGGTGCGCGCAGCACTGCCAAAAATCAGCCTGTACATGCGCGCCGGCCAGCTGATCGCTAGAACCCAGAAGTTCGGCTTTTACGGAGTGCGGCCCCGACAAGCGTGCACGCATTGGTGCCATAAAGTCCTCCGGGAGTAGGGCGGTATACAAATATGATAGATAGATAGATAGATAGATAGATAGATAGATAGATAGATAGATAGATAGATAGAATGAATGAGATAGATAGATAGATAGATAGATAGATATAGATAGATAGATATGGTAAATGATAGAGAGAGATTAGATAGATAAATAGATGATACAGATAGATAGATGATAGATAGATAGATAGATAGATAGATATAGATAGACAGACAGACAGAGACAGATAGATATAGATGATTGATAAATGATAGATAGATGATAGATAGATAGATAGATAGATAGATAGATAGATAGATAGATAGATAGATAGATAGATAGATAGATAGATAGATAGATAGATAGATAGATAGATAGATATGGTAGATGATAGAGAGATTAGATAGATAGATAGATAGATAGATAGATAGATAGATAGATAGATAGATAGATAGATAGATAGATAGATGATGGATGAATAGATAGGTAGATAGATAGATATAGATAGATAGATATGGTAAATGATAGAGAGAGATTAGATAGATAGATGAGATAGATAGTTAGATAGATAGATAGATAGATAGATAGATAGATAGATAGATAGATAGATAGATAGATAGACAGACAGAGACAGATAGATATAGATGATTGATAAATGATAGATAGATAGATAGATAGATAGATAGATAGATAGATAGATAGATAGATAGATTAGATAGATAGATAGATAGATAGATAGATAGATAGATAGATAGATAGATAGATAGATAGATAGATAGATAGATGATGGATGAATAGATAGGTAGATAGATAGATATAGATAGATAGATATGGTAAATGATAGAGAGAGATTAGATAGATAGATGAGAGATAGATAGATAGATAGATAGATAGATAGATAGATAGATAGATAGATAGATAGATAGACAGACAGAGACAGATAGATATAGATGATTGATAAATGATAGATAGATAGATAGATAGATAGATAGATAGATAGATAGATAGATAGATAGATAGATAGATATGGTAGATAGATATGGTAGATGATAGAGAGAGATTAGATAGATAGATAGATAGAATAGATAGATAGATAGATAGATAGATAGATAGATAGATAGATAGATAAAATAAAGGTTCGCCATTCAATTCCCAGAATTCCTGAGCCAGCGTAGAAGGTTGCAAAAGGGGATCGATCACCTGACTCTGGGACACTGCAACCGTCATAAATATGAGTCAGTTGGCAAACCTCTGAATTTTGATCACGTGACCGGGGGGGGGAAATGCCGCAGTGGTCGTAAGTGTGAAAAGCATAAGTCACTTTTTTCAGTGCCGTTGTAACTTTGGTTACCAAACGAACTCTTGTATGTCTAGGACGGCCTGTATTTTTATCATGTTGGGGGGGACACAATGCTTTTTCAGGAAATGAGTTCCCCATTCACTCTGGACTTGATTTTGGGGTGCACTCTAAAAAGCCAAGGGGTTGAAATCCAGCAGGTTCTGACAGATTCTCGAGAACCGGTAGCAGAAATTTTGAGCGGTTCGGAGAACTGGCAAATACCATCTCTGGCTGGCCCCAGAGTGGGGTGGGAATGGAGATTTTGCAATATCCTTCCCCCAGGAGTGGGGAGGGAATGGAGATTTTGCAATGTCCTTCCCCCAGGAGTGGGGAGGGAATGGAGATTTTGCAATATCCTTCCCCCAGGAGTGGGGAGGGAATGGAGATTTTGCAATATCCTTCCCTCAGGAGTGGGGAGGGAATGGGGATTTTGCAATATCCTTCCCCCAGGAGTGGGGAGGGAATGGGGATTTTGCAATATCCTTCTCCCAGGAGTGGGGAGGGAATGGGGATTTTGCAGTATTCTTCCCCCAGGAGTGGGGAGGGAATGGAGATTTTGCAGTATTCTTCCCCCAGGAGTGGGGAGGGAATGGGAATTTTGCAATATCCTTCCCCCAGGACTGGGGAGGGAATGGGGATTTTGCAGTATTCTTCCCCTGCCACACCCCCAAGCCACGCGTACCAAGCTACACCACGCCCACCAAGCCACGCCCACAGAACCGGTAGGTAAAAAAAATTGGATTTCACCACTGCAAGTGATTGTGACATAAAATAAGAGATTTCATAGTAGCTGCTTTCTGTTTGGCACGAGGAGTGAGGGATTTTGATTTTTGAATCTCCTACAGCTGGCTGAATTCTCTAAGATCCCCTGCTGGGTTAGGAAACAAGGCACGCTTGCGAAGATACAGAGTGTGAACGTTAGGGGTGCCGTACCACAATGTTCTTGAAAAAAAGAGACACGCAGTTCCAGATTGGCTGAAAAATGAGAAACGAAGCCTTGGAATTATATGACAAAATACACCATTTAACCAATGTTGAATAGTCTGGGAACGTTCCCTCACTGTACCGCAAGTGGTATACATCACAATCAATTGACAGTTTTAAACAACAACTCCAGAACAGCTTGTCTTCCAAGAGTTATCTCAACAAAGCTGAACATTTTTGTCTGCTTATCCTCAGGGAATGCTATATATACCTCACCCTCTCCCCAACCCAGAGCCCTCCAGATACGTCGTACTGCGATTTTGAGAATTCCCCAAAATTGGCAAACTGTTGGGGGAAGTTACAGGCCGGAGGGAAACCAGGTTGGAGACCCCTGGTATTGGAGGAGTGTTATTTCAATTTTTTTTTTATTTGATTTATATGCCACCCTTCTCCAGAGACTCAGGGCGGCTTACAATGCGCTAAGCAATAGCCTTCATCCTTTTGTATATTTATACAAGGTCAGCTTATTGCCCCCACAATCCGGGTCCTCATTTTACCTACCTCGGAAGGATGGAAGGCTGAGTCAACCTTGAGCCTGGTGAGATTTGAACTGGCAGTAATTGCAGGCAGCTGGTGTTAATAACAGTGCTTTAGTCTGCTGCGCCACCAGGGCTCTTTTTTTACAATGCAAGTAATCCTCGATTTATAACAGTTCATTTAGCGACCATTCAAAGTTACGACGAGATTGGACAAAGTCACTTCTGACTGCTTTTCACACTTAACGACCGTTGCAGCATTCCCTTGGTGACGTGATCAAAATTCAGATGCTTGGCACCTGACTCATATTTATGACGGTTGGGAGTGTCCCAGGGGTCATGTGTTCACCTTTTGAGGTGACCTAACAAGCAAAGCCAGATTCACCTAACAACCACGTCCCTAACTTAACTTCTACAGTGATTCACTTAACAACAGTGGCAAGAAAGGTCATAAAATGGGGCAAAACTCTGTTAACAAATGTCTCACTTAGAAACAGAAATTTGGGGCTCCATTGCGGTCGTAAATCAAGGACTACATGTGTTTCAATTTGCTATGTAGGGATTTTCTTGTAACATAGAGCTTAATTTAGAGATAGTTTGGTCTAGTGGTTAAGGTAAGCAAGCTGTGAATTCATTTCCTGCCTTAGGCATGAAAGCCAGCTGGATGAGTTTGGGCCAATCACCAGGAGACTGTGAGTTCTAGTTCTGCTTTAGGCATGGAAGCCTGCTGAGTGACTTTGGGTCAGTCACCAGGAGACAGTGAGTTCTAGCTCTTTCATGAGTTACGGGCATGAAAGCTGACTCACTCTCAGCCCAACCCACCTCCCAGGTTTGTTGTTGTGGAGAAAACAGGAGGAGGCAGGTGTGTTCGACATGTTCACTGCTGTCTGCTATTGGGTTGCCACTGTGGTCACATGATATTCATTTCCAATGTTCTTTGACAGTTTCACAATCTCTTGATCTTTTGGCATCCACTACCTGCCTGGGAGGGAAGGAGGGAGGGAGGAAGGAAGGAAGGATGATTTCTGATGCTTCCTTCCAGATTCCCCCAAGGAAACAATGGGGAAGCCAGCAGGAAATCGGAAATCTTGCCTACCCTTGGTCATTCTTTATTTCTCTGTTTAAATAAGAAAATATTTCTGAAACAATAACCCAGTGGAGTACGCGTTGTCTAGAAAACCTCTATTTCTATAGAATGTGAAGCCGTATTTCTAGATTCCACTTACAGAAGAGTTGGAAAGAACATCAGCTGGCCGGTAGGGCTGCTGCTGGGTGACCTATGAAGGACCATCCAAAATCCAAGACATTGTTGGAGCAGAATCCATGGCCTTCCTTGGCTTCCTTTCTCTGCCCAAAGAATAGACTAACCATGATTAGAGCTTAGAAAAAGGATGTGACCAAAAGAGGGGGAAATTTGAAGAATTGTGGTGTCGTTATGTGAACTTGGGAAAGGAACATCATCAGCACAAGAGCAATCGAAGAACTGAACAGGCACGCTGCATTGTTTCATTTTCCCCCTTTGAGCATTTGTCTGACGGTTGTGTGTCTTGTTGTTGTTCCTCCAGAAACTTTTTGTGATCATCACCTTCAGCAGACACATAGTGGAACAGATGGTCTCCTTAATTGGGTGAGTACAACAGATCTAATGTCACTGATGGTTGAAAACAGCTGTAACCTTATAGCTGTGTTCTTCAGTTAACAGTAACAGAGTTGGAAGGGACCTTGGAGGTCATGTAGTCCAACCCCCTGCTCATGCAGGAGACCTATACTAGGGATTCGAACCGCCAAACTGCCGACCTTTCTGATCGACAAGCTCAGTGTCTTTAGCCACTGAGCCACCTAGTCAGGCTTCAACCTGGGCAACTTTAAGATGGATGGACTTCCAACTCCCAGAATTCCCCAGCCAGCATTTTTAAAAGCATTTCACAATTTTTTTTAAAATGGCACACTAATAGAGCAACACTCTCTGACTGAAGGTTGCCAGCTGTGATGACCAAGCTATGGGATATGGATTTGGGACAGGAGCTCAAGTGGTTTTGTATTTTTATTGAGCCTCAGTGCAGTTTTAGTTGGTCTTTTATTTGAATGAAGTTATCTCCTTTTTTAAAAAAATGTGTTCACTGCCCAGAGTGTCCTGGATGAATGGATGACCTTATAAGATGGAGAGAGGGAAAGAGATCAGATGGATGAGTGAATGGATGGATGGATGGACAGAGAAGGATGGATGGAGAAAGAGCTCGGATGGATGGATGGATGGATGGATGTAGAGCTAGGATAGGTAGATAGGCAGAAAGGCTGGCAGACTGGATGGATGGAGAAAGGGATGGATGGATGGAGAGAGGGAGATCAGATGGATGACTGGATGGGTAGATGGACAGAGAAGGATGGATTGATGGATGATGGATGTAGAGCTAGGATAGGTAGATAGGCAGGCTGTCTTGCAGACTGTATGGATGGATAAAGAGATGGATGGATCGATGGAGATAGAGAGATCAGATGGGTGACTGGATGGGTGAATAGACAGAAGGATGGATGGAGAAAGAGCTCGGATGGATGGGTAAATGGATGATAGATGTAGAGCTAGGATAAGTAAATAGGCAGGCAGGCTGGCAGACTGGATGGATGGATAAATGGATGGATGGATGGATGGATAAAAGGATGGGTGGATAAAAGGATGGATGGATGGAGATAGAGAAAGAGATAGATGGATGGGTGGATGGACAAAGAAGGATGGATGGATGGATGGATAAAGGGATGGGTGGATGGATAAAAGGATGGATGGATGGAGATAGAGAAAGATATCACATGGATGGGTGGATGGACAAAGAAGGATGGATGGAGAAAGAGCTAGATTGGGTGGATGGACGGAGAGACAGACGGATGGATGGATGGATAAAACAAGCTTGAGTACGAAAGCTCTACAGTATCCCACATTCTATTTTTGCACCCCAGATCCTTCCCCCAATTGCTAAAAATTACAATTTCTCAGAAAACTAACTCCAACTTAGATTAAACTTTTTTTAAAAAAAAACATCTTGAATCTGTCCCCTGAACTTGAAAATTGGGGAGGGTGGGGGTGGTGGGAGGATGTTGCGCAGGGGAATCCGAAACTCCTCACTCTGTTGGTGCAGGCCTTTGCTTTTCCTGAATTCAGTCCACAGTATTCTTTTTTCTTTTTTTTTTTAAGAGGTGTAAAGCGTAGCCCATGGCCGTTGGAAGGCGGCTTCATCCCGATTAGGGGGTCAGTGTTTAAAAGAAAAAAATAGCAGGGAGACTTCACAGCAGCAAAGTCAGTCCGAGGGCCATTCGCTGCTAATTTCAGTGGGATTTCCTGTTTTCCAATAAGTCACTCGAATTCAGTTTGTCCCTACAGGATGCTTGTCACGGCTGCTACCCCTTGAACTCTGCTAGAATTGGCTCAGCTGCGCGGTTTGGAGGCTTCAGTGAATCAATGATTGAATACCGGTTAGGCAGAATCATATGGCTGAAATATAGAAAAAAAGGGGGGGTTAAACGCGACTTTTTATATGGAATATTATGGGTAATGTCAAAAGAACTGTGCTCAGGAAAAGGGCTGTGCATACAGAGAGGGGAACATATTAGTAACTTGCTGTTTCATTAACAAAACCTGCTCAGTTATTCATGCTTTGAATGTTCACATTGAAATATATATATATATATATATATTCCCTTTGCTGCCCTAACAAGAATATCCATCTGTGCTAGGAAGTGATTCAGGCTTGAATTTATTGCTCTTTTCGGCAGGAAATGGAGCAAAGCTGTAGATAACACGAATGCAATTATTGTTTTTAAAACCTCTCTGAGCTGTCCTGTTGTTAAATGAAACAATGGCATCATTTTAAAATGTGTACGTCTATAAATGTTTTTGACCCAGGAGCAGCTGGGTGTGCTCTTAAATTAAACCATAAAGTACTCCTGAATGAATAATAACATGACACCCTGTCTGAAGCGTGTGTGTATTTTTAAAAAAACATAATAGAAATTATCCTTACAGTCTTTGTTGTTTTCTGGCACAATTATCTTGGACCTGGTTCTTCAGAGTTCAGAGGAAGGTTGAAAGCCATGTCCATTAACTGTTTGCCTTGATTATGTGTCCGCATGTGTTTTTGGGTGTGGATGTATGGATGGTGTGTTTATAATCTTATTTCACCCATTTTTAAAAAAAACTTTAAAAGTGAGTGGGCACTTAGAATAGAATAGAATAACAGAGTTGGAAGGGACCTTGGAGGTCTTCTAGTCCAACCCCCTGCTTAGGCAGGAAACCCTACACCATTTCAGACAAATGGTTATCCAACATTTTCTTAAAAACTTCCAGTGTTGGAGCATTTGCAACTTCTGGTGGCAAGTTGTTCCACTGGTTAATTGTTCTCACTGTCAGGAAATTTCTCCTTAGTTCTAGGTTGCTTCTCTCCTTGATTAGTTTCCACCCATTGCTTCTTGTCCTGCCTTCAGATGCTTTGGAGAATAGCTTGACTCCCTCTTCTTTGTGGCAGCCCCTCAAATATTGGAAGACTGCTATCCTGTCTCCCCTGGTCCTTCTCTTCACTAGACTAGCCAGGCTCAGTTCCTGCAACCGTTCTTCATATGTTTTAGCCTCCAGTCCCCTCATCATCTTTGTTGCTCTTCTCTGCACTCTTTCTAGAGTCTCAACATCTTTTTTACATCGTGGCGATCAAAACTGAATGCAGTATTCCAGGTGTGGCCTTACCAAGATATATTTAAACAATTTATACATAAATGATAAATACTGCATCCAGTTTTGGTCACCACATTGCAAAAAAAGATGTTGAGACTTTGGAAAAAGTGCAAAGAAGAACAACTAAGATGATTAAGGGCCCGGAGACAAAAACATATGAAGAATAGGATTTGGGTATGGCCAGTTTAGAGAAAAGAAAGATGGGGGATGGGACAGGACATGATAGTGGTATTCCAGTATTCCACAAAGAAGAAGGGGTTAAATTATTTTCCAAAGCACCAGAGGGCAGGACAAGAAACAATGGTTGGAAACTAATCAAGGAGAGAAGCAACATGGAATGAAGGAGAAACTTCCTAACAGTGAGAACAATTAACCAGTGGAACAGCTTGCCACCAGAAGTTGTGGGTTCTTCATCACTGTAAGTTTTTAAGAAGAGACTGGACAGCCACTTGTCTGGAATGGTAGGGTGTCCTGCTTGAACAGGGGCTGGACTAGAAGACCTCCAAGGTCCCTTCCAGCTCTATTCTGATTAATTGATATTAACATTCAAATTCCTAAGGAAGGAACCAGTATATAATGGGATGGAATCTTCTCTATGGCTGTCTCTCGCTGTATCTCTTGCTCTCTCTTTACGTCTCTATGTCTGCCTGTCTTCTCACTGCAATTCCACAGAGCTTAATTCAATTTCTCTTTGCTCCAGGAGACTAACCTAAATTCCCACACTGGGCCTTTTGATTGTTGGTAGTTCCTTGATTTATAGGGTAAGCAACTTCTAACCCCTTCCTTCTGGCACTGATGACATTACATAGTTGGGTCATGAAAGGTCTGCAGGAAAAATCTGCAAGACTTTTAGCTCTACAATTTGGGATGAACACCTTTTGAATGGTGTGCGAGTAGGAATGGATTTCCAGATTGCAGACTACAGGAACCAGGAGCACTACTCCAGTGACCCCCGAGGACACAGATAAACCTCCAAGTGCTTCAAGGACCCTCTAAAAGGATGCAGATGACCAAGCTGTCTGCGAGGAGTATAAATCCTTCCATTCCCTACCATCCAATCAGAGCTGAAGAAGCTTCTTGGATGAGAAGCGAAACGTCTTCAAAGAAAAACCAGACAGTCCAGTTGCCTCTTGAAAAAAGCACCTTTGGCACAACCATGACATGGATGACTGAGAATTTCTATAGACTTTTAGCTATACAATTTGGAATGAACACCCTTTGAATGTGTGGGAGTAGGAATGTATTTCCAGAGGAAAAATTGCAGACTACAGGAACCAAGAACGCCACTCAGGTGACCTCCAAGGACACAGATAAACCTCCAAGTGCTGCAACGACCCTCTAAAATTGTGATGGCGAACCTATGGCATGCGTGGCACATGGGGCACGCAGTGCGCTCTCTGTGGGCACGCGAGCCGTCACCCCAGTTCAGCTTTGCCGTGCATGCGTGCGCGCCTCCCGTCAGCCAGCTGGTCGTCGGATCTCTGCCGCGCAGGGGGGCGGGACACATGCGCTGGGGCCACACACGCATTGCATTTGGGGGTTCAGGGACGCCTGCGGGCATTCACACACGTACATGTGCGCTTTGGGCACTCAGTCCAGAAAAGGTTAGCCATCCCTGCTCTAAAAGGATGCAAATGACCAGCTGTCTGCAAGGGATATAAATCCTTCCATTCCTCCACCCTCCAGTCAGAGCTGAAGAAGCTTCTTGAATGAGAAGCGAAACGTCTTCAAAGAAAAACTAGAAAGCACCTTGAAAAAGCACCTTTGGGACAACCATGACCTGGATGGCTGAGAATCTCTACAGACGTCTGCAAGAAAACCACCAAGATCAGAGAGCACCAAGAACTCCACACTTCTCTAATGTCAAGAAAAACTTCGTCACATACACCAAACCACGGTCACCATTCTTG